CTTCCAAAATCAGAGAAGGGAATACTCCCAAACTCATTATAAAAGGGCAGAATTACCCTGCTACCAAAACCAGATATGGATACTACAAGTTAAAACTACAGGCCAATATCCCTGGTGAATATACGCAAAAATTCTTTACAAAACATTAGCAAACCAAATTCAACAGCACATGGAAAGGGTCATACGCCAAAGTTAAGTGGGATTTATCCCTGGGATGCAAAGATGGTGCAACAAATCCATAAATGTGACACATCACATCAGTAAAATGAAAGGTAAAATATAATGATCTCAATAGAGGCAGAAAAAGCATTTAACAAAATACAACATCCTTTCATGATAAAAATTCAATAAATTGGGTATAGAAGGAATGTACCTCAACGTGATAAAGGCCATATATGACAAGCCCACAGCTAGCATCATCCTCAGTGATGAAAGATGGAAAGCTTCATCCTCAATGCTGAAAGATGGAAAGCTTTTCTTCTAAAATCGGGAACAAGACAAGGGTTCCCACTTTCACCTCTCCTATTCAACATAGTACTAGGAGCCCTAGCCAGAGAAGTCAGGCAAGAAATAGAAATAAAAGGCATCCAAATTAGAAAGTAAGAAGTGAAATTGTCTCTGTTGGAAGATGATATGGTCATATATAGAAAATTCTAAAGATCCCACACAAGAAAACTTAGAACTAATCAACAAGGTAACTAAGCAGTAAAGTAGCAGGATAAAAATCAGCATCAGATTTCCATTGTGTTTTTATACAAAATAAAAAAAAAAGAAATAGAAAAAGATATAAAATCTCATTCATAATAGCATCAAAAACAGTAAAATACTTTGAAATAAATTTACCCAAGAATATGAAAGGAATGTACACTGAAAACTAGGGTCTCAATGAAAGAAATTTAAGACACAAATAAATGGAAAGCTTATCTGTGTTCATAGATCAGAAGAATTAATATTGTTAACATTTCCATACTACCCAAAACCATCTACAGATTCCTGTAGTCCATATCAAAATTCCAATGGCATTTTTCACAGAAATAGAAAAAAAAATCATAAAATTCGTATGAAACCACAAAAGACCCTGAATAGCCAAAGCAATCCTGAGAAGCACAAAACTGGAGACATCACACTTCCTGATCTCAAACTGTATTACAAAGCTGTAGTAATGAAAACAGTATGGCATAAAAAATAGACACACAGACCAATGGAGTCAAATAAAGAGCCAAGAAATAAACCCCAGTATATACCACCAACTAATATTTTATAAGGGAGCCAAAATACTCGGTAGAGAAAAGATTATCTCTTCAGTAAGTGGTGTTGGGAAAATTGAATAATCCTATGTGAAAGAATGAAACTAGATCCACATCTTACACCACTGAGGAAAACTAACTCAAAATGGATCAAAGGCTTAAATATAAGACCCGAAGCTGTAAAACTCCTAGAAGAAGACATAGGAGATGAGCTTCTTGACACTGGTCTTGGCAATGATTTCTTGAATATGACAGCAAACATATGTGCAACAAAGGCAAAAGCAAATCAGAGGTCTACATAAGACTAAAAGGTTCTGCAGAGCAAAAGAACAATCAACAAAATGAAAAGGCAACCTTTGGAAAAAGAAAATATTTGCAAACCATGTATATGGTAAGGGGTTAATATCCAAAATATATAAAGAACTCATGCAAGTAAAAAATTCTGATTAAAAATGGGCAGAGTAACTGAGTCGACATTTTTCCAAAGAAGACATATAAATGGCCAATCAGGATGTGAAAAGATGTTCAATGACACAAATTAGGAGAATGCAAATCAAAAGCATAGTAAATGTCACTTCACACCTGTTAGGATGACTATTATCAAACAGACAAGTGATAACAAGTATTGGTGAAGATGCAGAGAAAAGAGAACCCTATATGCTGTTGGTGGCATGTATAATGATGCAGCCACTATCGAAAACACTGTGGAGGGTCCTCAGAAAGTTAAAAGTAGAACTACTGTATGATCCAACCATCCCAGTTCTGGATAAATAACCAAGGGAAATCAGAATTTCAAAGAGTTATTGGCACCCCCCTTTTCATTGCAGCATTATTCACAGTAGTCAAGATATGTAAACAACCTAAGAGTTCATCTGTGCATGAATGAATAAAGAAGATGTTTTATATACACAAAATGGAATGTTATTCAGCCATGAAAAAGGAAATCTGGCCTTTTGTGACAATATGATGGACCTTGAGGGCACTATGCTAAGTAAGATAAGTCAGACAGAGAAAGACAAATACTGTATGCTATCCTGTGAAACCTAAAAAATCCAACTCATAGAAACTGTAGAATGGTGGTTGCCAGGGGCTGGATGGTGAGGATATAGGGAGATATTGGTCAAAGGCTATAAACTTCGAGTTATAAGATGAATAAATTCTGGAGACTGAAAGTATAGCACAATGACTATCATTAACAATACTGTATTATACACTTGCAAGTTGCTAAAAGAGTAGATCGGAAATGTTCTCACCACACACATACAGAAAAAGGTAATTATGTGAGGTGTTAATTAACTTGTAGTCACAGTTTCATGATACAGTAATATATCAAATCATTGCAATATACACCTTAAAGTCACACACTGTTATTCAGTTATATCTCAATAAAGCTGGAAAAAAGGTTAATAAAATATTTTAAATGAAAAAAAAAAAAAAAAGAGGCGAGACTGACTTTTACGCAACCATTCGAACAGTATACCCTAAACCTACCTGGAATCTTAGAATGTGATCTTATTTGGAAGTAGGATACTCCTAGATGTTGAGATGAGCTCATACTGGATTAAGGTGGGCCCTAATCCAATGATTGGTAGGTAGGAAATTTGGGCACAAAGAAGAGAATGCCCTGTGAGGACAGAGACACACAAGACAGAAGGCCATGTGAAGATACAGGCAGAGATTGGAGTGGCACATTTATAAGAAAAGGGACACCAAGGATTGTTGCAAACTACCAGGCGCTAGCTAAGAAGCATGGAACAGATTCCCCTTGGGCCGCAAGGGGAAGCAATCTTACTGAAACCTTGATTTTGAACTTCCAGTCTTTAGCACTGTCAGAGAATAAATTTCTGTTGTTTTAAGTCACCCAGTTTGTGAAAATTCGTTAAGGCAGACCGAAGAGACTAGCAGATATGCTAATACCTATACCTCTTTATATCAGTCAGAGTCGACTAGGGTTTGTTGCAGTAACAAAAGGTCCTCTCCTCCCATTCTTAAGGGCTTACAACAACAAAGATCTACTTCTTACTCCCACCACATGCCCTTTATGGATTATCTGCTACTCCACACCTTGTCACTCTGAGCAGGGACCCTGGCAAAGGCAGTAGCCTCTGTCCAGAATATTGCCTCTGTCTGGCCTATGATGAAAGGAGCAGAGAGTCCGAAAATTCAAAAAGACTTACAGGGTTGGAAGATGAAAGAAGTAAACCATAAAATTGAAAGGCCTTTAAGTGACACAGCTCGAATCAACTCAGCCATAAGGCAAGGACCAAATCAAGGGTGTGGCCACTGTGACTTTTGTTAAAACCTCCGAATCCATTAAAGTGGTTCTCAGTATATTATTCAGTTGGACAACTTGGCAGAGAGAAAGAGCTTAGCAAACAATGCATTGGGTCTTGATGCTTCCGCCCCAAAGTGACCCACATCACTTCTCTCACATCTCATTAGCAGAGCAAGTCTGATGTCATTGTGTGGGTATGTGTAATCCACCTGTAGGGTGGGGCAGTGAATTTTTTTTTTTTTTTTTTTTTTTTTAGCAATGGTATCATCCATTCCACTCTTATAGAGGACTATCCTTTTGGTAGTCACTTTGAAAGGCTATCATAGGACTATAGTGATGTTAAAAGCTCTTGGAATAATCTACAGAGCAAGTATGTCATGTGAGAAAGTGACTCTTAACTTTATGGTTTTTGAACCCAAATTGACATTCCTCAGGTGGATCATTCACTTAGCCCCCAGATGTAGTTAAAATTGACCTCTGGTTTATTTTCCCAAATCAAGTCTATCCTCAAGTAGTGAAAATTTGCCATTCTGAAGGCTGGTTGAAGGAAGGTATTCCAGACCATTCCCAAGACGAAGCTACAGAAAAGTGAGAAATGGCTGCATCACTGAAATCACTGACCAGCCTTGCAGTGGGACTCCTCCCTACAGGATACAGTGCCAGACTGAAGTAATATATATTTCAGATGTATAATAAATTATATGCAATGATGCAATATATGAAAACTGAGCTTGGGAGGCGCAGTCAGTTAAGCATCTGCCTTCCACTCAAGTCATGATCCTGGGGTCCTGGAATGGAGCCCCACAAGGGGCTCCCTGCTCAGCGGGGAGTGTGCTTCTTCCTCTCCCTCTGCCCTTGCCCGCCCTGCCCCCAGCTCTGCTCCTGTGCACTCACTCTGTCAAATAAATACAATTTTAAAAATACATACATACATAAAAATGCATAAATAAAAGTAAAAAGGAAATTAACATGGCTTCACCCTTTCCATGTGTGGAAACTAAGCAATTTGCATGGATTATCTCCTTTAATCCTGGGATTAGGGTTAAAGGGCTGGGACTAGGATGAAGTGGGTAAGGAGGCACAAAATGTATGGAGACCTGCATTGTCTGGACTGTGCAAATGCAGGGTTGAACCTCACGTGACCCTAACAGCGAGCACCCCATTCCGTTTGTGCCCTAAGAGCCTCACTCACCTCGCCCTAGTCCCTTACCTGCCAGAGACAGCCGCATGAATCAAGATCACCAACCCCCTTCTTTGCAGAGAAGGAAACCGAGGCCCTAAGGAGTTTGAGCGCCTCTTCCCCACCCCCCACCGCCTCACTGTGACCTGCGCAGTCCACAGAGCTGAGCCCAAGTCCTTGGGGGATGGAGGGGTGGGACAACTAGACTCAGAAGTCGGCCCTGGCCGCCTGCGCATGCCTGGATTGCTTCCGCAAATTCTTCCTCTCAAGGTCGGGTTGTTTTTGTCCTCCTCTTCAGGTATCCAAGGCAGCCGCAGACTTGATGGCCTACTGCGAGGCTCATGCCAAGGAAGACCCCCTGCTGACCCCCGTCCCGGCTTCAGAAAACCCATTTAGGGAGAAGAAGTTTTTCTGCGCCATCCTTTAAGTCTTCGCGAGGAGCCTGTAGAGCCACAGGGCTCCTGGGACACTGATGTTGAGTTTTTAGCAAAGTGGGCGCCTTTCCAGTCCACAGCATTTAAAGAGAGGGAGGAGAACCATCCTGGAAACTCCAGGCTATGCATGTTTAAAGAACCGGTCCCCTTGATGAGAATGAAAGCCAAACCACATCCTGAGTTAAGAGATCTGATATCTGCAGAACTGCCTGGAGGAGGGGAATATGTAAAGATAAAATCCGCCTCATTTCTTTTCTGCTATCCCTTCCCAAACCTTATGTTTCTGCTTCATATTTAAAAAAATAAAAATAAAAATAAAAACAGACAGCTGTACTGAGCTAAGATATGTATGACCTTCTTGGAATGAATATTGCCTTTAGAATACCCTTTGATAAGCTGAATTGTCCAGTGTAGCTGCGGTTTGGTTTAATGGCATTGATGTTTAGTCTTTGTGCCTTTTTCTTTTTTCCTTCTCTCCTGCCTCTCTTTCCCACCCCTTCCAGTTAGAGTAGTGCAGAGCGAAGACTGGATTATCTGCGAGACTGAACTCCAAGGATGAGCACCCAAGTGTTTAGGGAGCTGTTCCCCGTGGTTTGTCCTCATGGTGATAACAACAAAAAATGCCCAGTTGTCTGTGTTCTCTTATCACCATTCCTAACATTTGTACATGATAGCTTTGATTCTGCAAGTAAAAGTAAATCATGTGTTGTGACTGGTGCTTTCATATATTTGTGACGATTTTTGAGTAATACTGCATGAAAATGTCCCTATGTTACATCCATTCAGAAGGTTTGTTGTTTAACTCAAGTTTGGAACAGGAATGAGAAGGAAAAGAAGCTGGAGAAGAACAAACTCAGTGTCTTGAAAACTGAGATGACTTCAGAGCCTTAGCCATGCCTAAAATACCTCTGAGTTCACGGTGGCTTAAACACCTCTTCAATGTATTTTCCAGAATCCAAAGCATTTTGGTTGTATCCAGGATCCAGGGCAGCACAGGAACCAACGGGCAGGAGAGGGAAAGAAGGATTCACCATCAGTGGGGAGGCATTTTTGTCATAGAGTAAGAGCCAATTTCATCTTCCCCTCCATCGTGGAAATTTTAGATTGAAAGAACACTTTCTGTTCGTTCAAATATCAGGAGAAATAAACCCATGGCTCCAGAGAAGACCCATTCTCAGAATCCTAGCTGTTCACCTGCCAGGAAGAAGGAGGCAGGTAGGGGCCCGCCAGCACCACCAGAAAGGGTTCTGGCTCTCTTTTGCCACTGGGATAGTCTTCGCTTTTCACTCACCAAATTTCTCAAAAGAGCCTTTTCTGGTTTTGTTCTCCATCTTGTTTGTTAGAGTCTCTCAGTCTTTCTTTACAACTTCCTTGCAGCTAGAGCTCTCTCTTCCTGAGAGATGATATTGAAACTGATTTTTCATTTCAGCTCTAGCCTTCATCAGTAAGGGAAGGTTCTGGAAACCTGCATCACTTTTTTCTGTGCCATTCCCACGCAAAAGAGGACCGGTCTTACAGCTCGCTGTTTACTTTGAAATTGCAAAAGACCATTTCCAAATTAATTCTATTCTCTTTCCCTTCTCTTCCTTCTGTTAAAAAAAAAAAAATAAAAAGTGAGGAAAGAAAAGAGAAGATATAAAAACTTAATAGGCCCAGGACAGATTTCAAAAGAGTTAGTAAATATTTTCTTTAGCTCCTTTTTAAGGGCATGATGGTAAAAGAATAAATATATCCAAATGGGGCAGGGGCAAAGGAATGCTGAGATACTTGCAAAATGTATGGCTCTCCTTCTACAACCGGGTACTTCTGTTCAAACCTTGCGATGTTGTTACAGTCAGAGAGACACTAATGAAGATTTAGTGGGAAGACCCTGGCCGAGTATTCATTAAACTATATACAGTGTTGTACCATTAGCTTCGTAATACTGTGGAATCAGCTAAAACCATATCACATTTTAAAAATTATTCAAAAGAGGAATTGAGTATGTGGTCACCTAAAAACTAGTGTGAATAAAGCACCTTTTGATGGTGATTAAAGCGTCATTGTAAGACCCCAAGGATTTTCATAATCTTACACCACTTATTTTTCTTAGAGGGATGCTTATGTTTTTAGGTAAATCTTGATCTTTGGAGCAATTAAAATGGAATTAAAACTTGAAGGAAGCACTGTAATATGGCTCTGGTAATTAAAAGTTAAGGAAGTTCCAAACTTGTGACCTTGTTTACAAAAGAGGAAAAGCAGAAAATACACAGCCCATCTGAAATTAAGTTTAAGGAAAATGTTTTGGCTTTTTCATAACTTAGTGTCCTGTAGTATGGCATTATAAAATCTGAGTCTTTATATGATTTTTTTTTTTTTTGCTTATTGGTATTTTTACTTGTTAAGGAGGAAAGAAATCTTTTGATGACTTATACCTCTAAAGAGCTTTAATTCTGTTTGAGATTCAACAATCATGTCCACCAGCATAATTTTATCTTAAGGAATAACTAATAGGAAATATTAACTTAATTTTTCAAGGCCCTAATTTCTGTATATAATGTATTGGATACATTATATAGAAATCTGTCATGCAGTTAGCTTAAACTGTAACAATAACCCTCACATTAAGAAAAAAAAAATCTTGCATTGTCTTCAATATTAACTCTGATTTATTTATTCTTCCTTCCTTTCTTTCTCTCTCTCCCTTCCTCCCTCCCTCCCTTCCTCCCTCCCTTTCTTTTTTTTTCTTTCTTTTTCTTTTCTTCTTTCCAATTTTAAACCAAGAACCATTTAATTTAAATTAGAGGTTCCAAAACAGTACTTTGATCCAAGGTTAATTTTTATAATAATATTTGAAAGAGATTGCTTACCAAGGAAAAATTAAAAACGATTTCTCTATATACTCCTATTCACAAATGGGATTTGGGGAAATCAAGCATGCTGTCTTACATTTTTGTAGCTTTCTTGTTTTTGCTTTTTGTTTTTGTTTTCAAATGTTTGCTTCAAGCTGCTCCTGGCAATGGTGAATTGTTACATATCATTAATGTTTTCCCAACCCAAGGATTGTTCACCTTTTTTCCTATATAAGATCTGTGGGGTGTATCTTTCAAAGAGAGGGAAATACAGGAATGTTAAAGCAGGAAAACCTGAATGTGATGTGCACATTTTCATCCCACATGGACAATGTATTTGTTTTAATAAATGGAATTTTCAAATTCATTTCATATGCAGTCAAGTTCATTATGAGGGCCTGGGGGCCCGCTTGCCCATCGATTCCATGGTTAATTTGAGAAGGATGATGACACATAACAGGAGGGGAGGGGAGATAGGAATCCATTGATTTTTTTAGGATTTTGTTAATAGAAGTGTTCTAAGGAAGGGCTCACATGAGACTCTTTAAAAGCCTGTCTCCCTGGGTCTCTACGTCTTAAAGGCCCATGCCTGGGGACAGAGAAAGGTGATGCGGAAGAGCCCAGGGCTCTGGCAGGTTGGACCGTGAGGACACAAGCTACACTCTAGCATGATGCACTGGGGGTTTTTCCTTCACCAAAACAAAACAAAACAACAACAACAAAAAAACCACAATGCTGTCCTCCATAAATTGTTCATGATTTAAAAGGAGTTCTGGAGAAGACAAAATGCTTAGAATTCTAGATTCAGCAGCTCGTCAGAGATAGTCTTAGTCAACAAAACCTTCTGTAGGCTCATCAAATGATGCCATGAGTAATAGACCCCGTTAGGAAAGAAGGAAGGGCAGGCTCTCCCAGGAGTTGTGTCAGGGACAGCCACATCTTTAAAACTGATAAAAGGAGCCACTTGGAGTTAGAGCACTTGTCCACTTACATCATTGTTTCGCTGGCAGGGGTCCCTGGACCACCTGCTTCAGAATCGCAAGTGGAGAGGCAGATGATGGGCCCCAACTCAGAATCTCTGGCAGGGGCACTTAAAGATATGGGCCCCACTGCATGCTGGAGCCCGAGGACCACCGACTTAAGTATTTACGACAGACAGCTTTTCACAATGCCTAAGGGGAGGCACAGACCAGTCGTACGTGTGCTCACTTATTCCCGCAGCCACAGGAAGTGCCTGACCAGGAGTAGACATAGAACCTGTGGGTGAAAAGGTAGACAGATCCTCCGCGTCTCCATGAGACACGGAGCCGAGGCAGCTGGTGGTTTTTGCCTCTGCTCCTGTTTTGTTGAGCCCATGTGAAAGGATGGCCTCCAGCTCTGGTTCTTTAATAAGCTGGTCACATTTTAGACAGCACTCACAATGACGTGGGAATTGGAGCTGGGTCAGCTCCAATCCACAAATTGCAAATAATTTGCCAAGGGAAATCCCTTTCCCTTCGGTTCTGCCCCAAATCTACATTTTCTTCTATTTAGAACCAGGAGACTCAGGCAGAATTTATTTTTAATGAAAAGGGTCATGGGCTCCCGGGCCTTTCCTCAGTAAGGACTCCTACTGTTTCTCCATGTCCTGGGGCTGGGGGTGCACCTCCATCCTGAGGTGACAGAGAGACGGTGCCTGTGACTTCATACTGTACCCATGTAGGAGTCCATCTAGCATGAGCTAGAGCATCAGAGCTAGGCCCCAATGTTCCCCCATGACCTTGGGCAAGCCTCTGACTTCTCCACACTATAAGATGGGGACAAGAATACCTGCCTCATTGCTTCACCAAGTTGTCAAAACTGAATGAAAGAGAGAAGGTATGAAGGCATCATGAAGGAAGTGGTGATAAAGAATCATTAGACACTGCTTGCACAACTTTCGAAGAGAGGAAAATTCTCAATAGTTCCTTCTCACCGCTTGACTCACCTCCTTCCCTCTCGGCCATCACACTCCCCGGTTCAGACCCTCGGTACCTCACATTTGAATTTCTATCACATCTACTGGTGTGGCTTATCTCCTCATCACCTTCCACTCTGAGCCATCCCACTGACCCCAGGTATTTGTTAGTCAGGACTCCTTTGGTTGCAAGTGGCAGGAACCTAACTGAAACTGGCTAATAATGGAAGAGCTCTGAAAGAGGTCCCCCTTCAAGTTCAGCTGGATCCAGGTGCCAAGATGATGTCATCAGATGTCTTCATTTATCCTTTGGTCCTGCTTCCCCCTGCACTGGTTTAAGTCTCAGATGGACTCTCCCCTGCAGCCTCAATATAGTATCAGCGATTCCAGGCTTGCTCTCACCAGCTGAGCAATCACAGAAGAAAGATAATAACAGCTCCAGCACAAGTCCCTGACTGTGTCCTTGCAACACTACCTAAGACTCTCATTGGCTGGATCTGATTTGTGAACCCAGGCATGGAGGTGGGGTCACTGTATCACAGGGGCAGAACAGCAGATCTAAGGAGATTGAAGCGTGACCACTAGGGGGAGAAAGATGGAAGGTCAAAGGCAGAAAAAAGTGATGCCAACCCCATCTTGCCAGACTCCTGGAGGCACCCTTCAGTTCCAGCATGCTCAGACACAAGGGTGCACTGCCTTGTGGTGCTCTTCCCAACCCAGCAGATCCACACTCCAGCCCTGGGGAGGCAAGTCCCACCCTAGTAATTCTACCTTCTTTTCTAAACTTCCTTGTGGTTCATCCAGTCTCCCATAAATATAATATTTTCAATCCTACCTCCATGTTTTGGTTTATGACATTACTCTCCTGGAATGCCATTACTCAACCCCTCAAGTAAATAAATCTTGCTCATTTTTCAAATCTCGTCTAAACTCCGTATTGTCAGTGAATGACTTCAGGAAATACTTGTCTCTTTCCTCTCAACTCC